TAATATTTAAGATTTTATTAAAAAATTAGAGTTTAAAAAATAAACACAAGCAAATTTGTCTGTATTACAATTTAAGAGATACTATTTGATTCGTCTCATCGAGACAAATCGAATGATACTAAAATCAGGCAATTCTGATTGATAGTTCTCGAGATATTCTATTTAACCAAAATAGCCCATGGTAGATATATCTAATCTGACACAAATAAATATTTATAATAAATATTATATGATATATTAATCAGAATCGCAAGATTTTGGTACTATTCGATTCGTTTCATCGAGATGAATCAAATAGTACTAAAATCTTTGCGATTCTGATCGATATATCACATAATATTTATTGTAAATGTTATATTTGCGTCAAATTAGGCACTATATCAAATTAGAAACATATTTTTAGACAACCTTTAATAAGCAATATTTTATGATTTAATGATTAGAATTAAATAGTTTTGGTACTATTCGATTTGTCTCATTGAAACGAATCAAATAGTATTAAAATTATCCGGTTCTGATTGATATATCTATCGAAAACATTAGCTGTATCAAAATAGGCATATCTCTTTTATATTACAAGTTTAATTAATTGATAAAATAAACAATATATTGAAATAAATTGTATATGATAATTAATAATTAGATAATATTTTTATAAATATTATTTAGACACCATACTTGAATCCTTAATATAAGTCTAGTAATTATACTATATTCTTGGTTTAAGTATAATTACATTGTGTAGCTACATATCTAATTTTTATTTTAGACTATATAAGATGTTTTCAATTTTGAGAAATAATAAATCATTTTTCATATTTAGTAAAAATAAGAATCTGTTTATATAGTATATTATTATTAAAAATTTTTTTAGTATATAAAAATTTTTACTAGATATTCAAGTTAAGTATTAATAAAATTTTTAAATAAAAAATTTTTTATTAAAAAAAAGATCAAAATCTATTACTGAATTATTAAAAGTTAGTTAATAATATAAAAACTAATAGTATAAATTTGTATACTCTTATTAAAATTTTTTATATAATAAATTTTTTACCAGATATTTGGGTTGTAAAATAATAAAATTTATAAATAATTTTTTTTTATTAAAAAAATTTTTTTAAAAAAAATTTAAATCTGAGTTGGTGAATTATAAAAGCCTAGTTGGTGATATGAAAACCAAAACTATAAGTTTGTATGGCCTTATAAAGATTATATCAAAAATATAATTTGGAAATTTTTTGTCTGTTTGTGTGTGTATTCAAATTTGTAATTTAGTATAACAAAAATATACATATTTATATATTTGTACAATAAATTAATTATTATATAATATACTCTAGATCATATAATACTATATTTTTCTAGTAAAAAATAGTTATATCCTGGGCAGTTAAGTGTAATTGGAATTTTGCAGTGAGTATAATTGGCCATGTAAGTGGCCAATACAAAATTTCACTTATATCTAATAAAGTATAGATCTGCATCAAAGAAAGTAAATGTTGATCTTAAAAAATTCCGAATAAAAAAAAAAAACTTTACTAATTCTAGACTATAGTTAGCGGGTTAGAGTTAAAGTTTATGGTTAGATTAATTAATTTAACTATCTTAAAACTTAATGCATACAATAATATATCTGTATTTTGCATTCTTTCATTTGTTTGATTCTTGGGTAGATTTTTTTATAATATCGTATAATTTATTTTATAATAAAATTTAATACATAGTAATCAAAGAATAACTACGTATAAAAAACTTAAAAAAAAAAAATATTATTTACACTTTAGGTATAGTGATTTCAGTATTAATTTTCTTGCAACATGGACGTTCGCTAATATTTTTCCACCACCTAGCAACGTTAGGACGTTTGGGATCATTCCAAAAATCATGACCACACATAATAGCAAGTTGAGTAAAAGGAACATGCAGAATATCAGCCAAAGAAAATTCACCGGCAAGATATTCTTTACCCTCCAATAATTTCTCATAAACAGTTAAGGTGTTGTCAATTTCTCCAAGTGCCTCTTTAATAATTTCAGGATTTTTAGTTAAACCTTTCAATTCTACGACTAATTCTTCATCGACTAATTTAAATAGAATTGGGATATAATATGAGTTTCCTACTGAAATAAATTGATCTACCAAAGTGGCCTTCTTCTCATCAGTAGGAATAAGAACGGTGGAATTTTTCTTTCCTTGATATTTTTTCACCAGATAACGAGTTATTGCTTCAGTTTCATAAATATTGAATCCGTCATCGATGAGAACGGGAACTCTTGCACTGTAAAAAAAAAAAAAGAAGAAACACATATAAATTAAATTATATGATAATATTTTTTGAAAAAAAAAAAAAAAAGTATTTACAAGGGGTGATTATTGGCCAAGAATTCTGGAGTTCTGAGCTCTGTAAATGTCGTTTCCCTGAAATCATAGGGTAATCCTAATTCTTCGAGAGTAATGGACACTCCATGAGTATAACCTCCTTGAAATCCTATGAGTTGAATAGACATTTCGATTATATTTTTTAAAAGAATTTTTTTTTGGAATTGTCTTTTTTCGTGGAAAAAGCCTTTTTTTAAGGGTAAACGTAGATCAATTTAAAATTTTGGGGCCCTCTTATCGTGCCCCGGGGCATGCCCCTAGTATATAAATCATCGATATACACGTGAACACAATGCTGATATCGACCAATCATATTCGTTATGATCCTTCCTGTAATCACATGATAGGGGCCTAAAAGCATGCCCTAGAGGCATGCCTAGGGACCCATGCACCTACCCTACCCTAAAGCGGTGCAGATTTCATATAATAATCTATATACTGCATAAATCGTATTTTTGATATATAAATAACTTACTAACCATAACTGTACCAAAAAGGTAACTCTAAACACATCAAAAACGTACGTACGTGCCTTTTTTTTAACCCGACTTTAAGGCCCTTTTACTATTAATCACGTAGAAATAGGCAAAATGATATTTTTTTATCATGCATGCGCATAGTATGCTTGCATATATGCATGCATATTACGGAGTTTTAATTATATTTTGTACCGGACACGATCTATAAGGGTACAAACTATAATTGAAACTCCGTGGTGCCTTTATTCTTGGCAACACTCATATGCACTATACTGCTATAGTTTAAAAATATATAGGCTGCATCTCTAAGTTTAAAGGGATACTCTTTAAGTACAAATTCTCTCTAAATATATATATATTATAACCTTTTTTAAATATATATTTTTTTTATAAATTTATATGCAGTATATAATTTTAACCAATAAAAATTATTTATATATATTTAATTTAAAGTTACTATGATGCAGGAAGTCTTAACTCATCAATATAATAGATGATTTTTAAAATCTATTAACTCTTTAAAAAATTAAAAATTTAAAAAACTAACTAGTAATTTTGTTTTTTAAGACAAGCTTTACAAAATTACTAATCAGATTTTAAAAATATAATATCTATAAAGAGTTAATAGTTTTTAAAGTTGGATTATTTTTATATTAAAAAATAAAAATTGAAATATATATAATTTTTAATTTGAACTAATTAAAAATTTATATTGTTTTTATAAAAATTTTTTTAACCAATCAAAATTTAATTTTAAAAATAAAATTTTTCAAAAAAAATTTAATTTAGTTTGTATTACCTATTCTAACAATCTGATTGGCTAATTTAGATTACACTGCATATATAAAATTAAAACATTAGCTAGTTAAGATTTTCTGCACTATATAATATTAAAAATTCAAAAATCTTTAATAATAAATAATTTTTAAATTATTATTTGTTTTGCATAAAACAATCATCAAATATTTGTCTTGATAAGAAATTCTCAACAAGTTTAAAATCACTAAAATCTAATTATAAAATTTTAAAATTATTAAGAGTTTATATTATTTTATAGTATTATAATACTGTGGTCTTCTTAACAGTATTACTATAACAATAATATAGCTGTAAAGATTTTTCAGTAAGTATAATTTCTACTTCAATTAGAAACTATACTTTTTTTTTTGTAGCAATTTAGGCAGACAATAGTTTATAGAGAAAATATATATTTATTAAAAAATATAAGATACATTACCAAATTTATAAAACTGCAATTTTTCAAAAAATTTGTATTTACTATAAAAAATTTTTAAAAAATTTAAAAAATTACTTGGAACTTTAAATTTTATTAAGTATAGTGCAAGACAAAAAAACTCTGTATTTATATCTGCTTATAGAGAGGTATTACAGTCTTGAAACTTTTCTAAAACTTAGTAAATAGTTAGCCTAGGTTGTTTATTTTTTTTGGTAATTTTTCA